ATCTCTTGCTCACAGATCCAGTCATTTTATCAGAGGTGGCAATCAGGTTGGTCAAGCATGATTTACCCTTGGTAAATCCATCCTCGCTGTTCCCTATTACCATTTTCTCCTTCACGTGTCCAGAAATGTATTTCAAAGAGGACTTGCTCCGTGATCTTCCCAGGGACCAAAGTGAGGCTGATTGGCTGCAGTTCCCTAGATTGTTCTTTGGGCCTTTTGCGAAGATGGGTGCAACAATTGCCTTTTTCTAGTCATTGGGAACCTGTCCCGATTTCCACGACATTTCAAAGGTAATAGACAATGGCCTTGCAATGACATCAGCCAGTTCCCTCAACACCCTCAGATACAGCCTGTTGGGTACCATGGACTTGTACGGGTAGTCCCTGGCTTCATCCCTGTTCATTGCTAGCTCTTGAACGTGTTCACTGATCACAGAGGTATGGGAGACATCATTAGTGCAGACAGAGAAAAAGAAGGCTTTGAGTACTTCAGACTTCTGTGTCTCTGTTGTCACTATATCACCCAGCCCACTCGGCATCAGGCACACATTTTCCTTGGTCAGCCTTTTATTACTAATGTAAAAGTAGAAGCTTTTCTTGTTGCCCTTGACATCCCCTGGAAATCTCAACTCCAGCTGAACTTAGACTTTCCTGATACCATTCCCTATATGCCCAGGCAACATTTCTAAATTCCTCCTTTGTAGCCTGTCCCTGCTTCCACCTCTTGCATGCTGCCATTTGATGTTGGGACCTCCACTGTAAGTTTCCTGCTTAGTTAAGCTGGGCTCCTCATACATCTGCTAATTTTCCTGCATATCAAGACAGATTGATCTTGTGCTTGGAGGGTCTTCAAAGACCTGCCAGCTTCTCTGAGCCACCATGCCCTTCAGAGCTGCCTCCCATGTGATCACACCTACCAGTTCCCTGAATAAGCCAAACTCTGCTTGTCTGAAGTCCAGGGTCCATACTTCGCTATTCTCCTGCCTCATTCCCTTCACGATCTTGAACTTCATTATTTCACAGTCACTACATCCAAGACTGCCACTGATTATCACACTCCTAACCGTTTCTTTCTTACAAGTGAATAGCAGATCCAGGTGTTCCTCACCTCTGGTTGTCTCAGATGGAGAAAGAAGTGAACAACAGCCATGCAGTGACCAAACAACAACAGGACAGCTACTATGGTATGGGATCTGTGCAGAGAATCACATATGGTGGTTAGTGGGAGTTGCCCGGATATTTGTGTAAAGGAGAATGAAGTAGAGAGGATGAAAAGGAGAGGACAGCTGTACAAAAACCTATCAGCCCAGCTAGACAAAAAGTCCTCACGGGAATTTGGAGCCCAGTGAGAACAGTAGCCAATACTAAGAGACAAGCATGCCATTGAAGGAGAAGCCATTGGCTGTTTCAAAGTTGCACTCCACCCAGCAAGTGAAATGGGGAAAAGCAGAGAGACACAACTATGGAGTCAGAACGATTTTCAGCTGAGATTCTCGTGTCAGAACGGGTAGGCAAGGAAGCTGAAGAAACAGAATAGTGAATCACAGTCACAGTGCCTGGCAAAAAAATATAGTGACTCAGAACTAAGAGAAAACAAGACACTGAACAGAAGTAACAAGGAGACAAGGCCTGGAGAAAGACGAGGCACAATCCGATGTGCAGCCATGTTTCTCTACAGACAGTTCGTGGCCCGAGGTCAAGACTGAAGCACAACTACCAGACTGGGGTCACAAAGGCCACATCAGCTGCAGAGATCTAGGTCCCCAGCTATGAATGAAGATGTCTATGAACTTTTCCAAAAGTGAATGAGGGTTTCAGTGACCTGAGAACAAGGGAAGGATCCAAAGGTGAGGACAATGGGGTGGGGTATAGCCTGCTGCTCAGAACTAGAGTTGATGTTGAATACGCTATACAAAATGCTAAGCCTTGTTACATTATTGTATGCCAGCCTGGGCTTAACCAAGTCTTTCTTTTCATTAAAATTCCATTTTAGACAAAAGATATGCAGTAAATCCAATCGACTTGCATGTAAGTGAAGCATTTGACATACAGTCATAAGTGGAATCACTACTTTAGACTAAAAAATGGGGATTAGAACAAGAACAACACTTGGTAAAGAACTGGTATAGAAAAAAAGTATGAAGCAGGAAGTACCTCATTGACCATTTTTGAAACTGATTTTATTTAGATATTTTCATTAATAGCTCAAGCACAAAAAGGAGAAGTATGCTAACAAAACTTAATAATGACAAATTTGGGTGGCACTGTCTATAGAAACGGGATGAAAAACAGCATTACAAAGCACAGGATCATGTTCCTCAGAGTCTGTACCCATAATTCCTGCTCCAATATGGGAATTCATCGGTAGCAAACAATGGAAAATAGAAACACTTTGAGTATTAGTCAATCACAGAATGACCATATGCTGTATCAATGTGGTAAGGCCATAAAAAATGAAATGTGATCCCAATCCGCATCACTAGGTATTTCCAGTAGAGACAAAAACGCATTAGTGGCATTCAAGGACTGGTGATACTGGTAATCTGTAACACTATGTATAGGTGCTACCTCCTGAGAGGTAGATTTAAAGGGGTTCAAAAGAGGTGAATTTAACCTGGAATAGATATAATGAAGAATTGTGAGGATAAGAATTGTGGGGAGCCCCTCTTACTTGGCAAACTAAAAGCACCTGCCTTGTGGAGCCTAGCAAAAAGAAAAAAAAAAAAAAAGCAAAGCTGCTGGATCTGAAGTATCTCAGAAGTAAGGAACCTAACTAGTCTTGAGGTAGCAATTGTGTCATGGCTTTCATGACAAAGGGAACCAGGCTGGATGTGCCAGGAGGTCCCATGCAGTTCCATAATCCTGTCTTCCTACACGTAACAGTTTTCTAGGTTGAACCTTCTCATACAATTATATCCATGTAAAATTAAATCCTTCACAAACAGCTGAACCGTAGCAGCTGAGTGACCCTACCCAACTAGCAATGTGCTCCAGCACTATAGCGCAGCCCGGAAGTTCAGCAGCAGGTTACCCGTGCCAACTGCCCGACTCGCTAGCACAGCAAGTAACGCTGAAAACCCACCTCCTTTTCTGCTATTACATAAGGCGGTGTTCAAGAGTAAGATGTATTTAATATCTTCCCTTCTCCCCTTCACAGTTCCCAGGAGACACAAGCAAGAGTCTGCAAAACGTCTGTGGGTAACAGATGCTGATTGGCTGGAAAATACTCCGGAAGGTTGGAAGTTTTACCCTGTGTTTCGTGTGCATCCCACAGCCACCAGTGCAAATCTTCCGCTTGACAGGACACCGATGCACACAGCATTTTCCCATCCCATGATGGCAAGGAGCATAAGGAGGTTCTGATACACTGATGGCAGCCTAATGGAGTACCTTAATCCAGACACAACATCCTATCATCGATACCAGCACTCCAGCTGCACTGATAAAAACTCCACTGCAGACAGAACTCTAGCAATTTGTGTTCCCTTATCACACCATCAGTTAAAATTATTGGCTGACAGCAAAGATACTGAAAGTCAAGAACATTTGGTGACAGCATGGGTCTGGAGGGTGCCAGCATCTGTACAGCTTTTTGACATACTTGAATAAGGCTCTACCTATTAAGAATTATCACGGATTTGATAAACAGAGGCACAAGTCTTCTGTTGCCAAAAAAGTTTGGTTACCTCTGTTCTGAGACTTTTTTATCTTAGAAAGGCACCAGACCCAAAAAAAAAAAAAAAACCAAACCAAAAGCCTTGAAATGGACACATATTTAAAGCAACAGCCTCACCATACAGGATGGAAATTGCCTGTGAAAACAATTTGTGTGGGACAGACAGAACTGACAGCACAAGAAACCCAGCTGTCATTCTAAGGAAGTACAGACTCCAAGCAGAGCAGGAACAAGGCTGTAACACAAACGCTACAGAGGCCTCAAGTAGCTCAAAGGTCTGGATTTAATGGTAGCTCAGTCCGCTCAAGACAGCAGCATGAGAGTACTAACAGCTAAGCTATGGGAGGCTGTGCTTCCAGAGGGTGGCAGGAGTTACAAGAAGTGACAATATGACACCAGGAGCACCAAAGTGGGCTCCCCTCCTCAGGTGGCGGGCACTAGGTACCTGCGGAATGTTACAGAAAGGAATCCAGAGGCTTCCAGCAAGCTTGGGTTTATCCTAGCAGTGGAGAGGTAGACTTCAAAAGGACATGGAGATCTACACACCTGTGAAAGGGATTCAGGGCCCAGAAAAAGCACCAGAGCCAAAGAAACTGGGACTAGCATGTGGTGAGGGTGTGCCTTTTGAAGACTAAGGAAGTCTGCCTTTTGGGAGAACTGTACTGAAGGGGACACAGGAAAGGAAAAGTCTGGGAATAAAGAAGGAGAAGGGGAACAGAGAGAAATTCCAGTGTTTAAAAAGGCAGTAGAAGATTTAAGCATTGAGGATCAAGCATAGGCAGACACTAAAAGCTAGACATAACCCCGGGGATAAGAGAATTAATAACTCTCTGGACAATGCAGGCCCCTTGAACTCTGCTGTTTACACGGGTTCACTTCAGTCCTGCTAAGATACAACCACAAGAATTAGAACCTGGCAGCTCTGCTGGGCCAGAGAGACCTGAGGACGAGCCCATCTCCTACAGGTACAGCTGCGCTCTGAACCAGCTTTTGGCCAGCCTCAAAAATTGATCAAAAACATCCTTAAGAAGCAGAGGGCCCCAGCGCCAAGTCGTGTGCTTCGCAGCCCAGCACCACTGTCCATCCAGCAAGTGGCAGTGCTGGCTCGGCTAACCCAGTGCACGAGGACGACACAGGCCGGGCTGCACTCCACGCTCCCAGCCCCCAGCCCCAGCCCCAGCCTTGCTCTCTAGACTTTCACCCACTGCCTACTTACTTTTTAATTAGATTTTTAAACAAAAAGTGAAAGTATTTTCTAAAATCCCTCTAATTACACTAAGATGCTGAACTGATTGTGAAGGGAATAGGAAATGAAAGCGACTCACCCTCTGAGGGAGAATTTTGTCAGCCATCTTCCTCCTCTTGGCACTGTACATTTTTTAAAGAAAAAAACACGTTACCATGGTGACAGATCTAGGAGTAACGAGGCCACCTGCTAAATTATCCTGACATCTCCACATGCTGGTGCACAGCTGTGCATGCATCAGCAAAAGGGTCTCACCCATGCCCAGGACCTAGGACCCCTTCTCTCAGCAGCCTGGGGAGGTAGTTAGCTAAGAACAAATCAGGGCTGTCTGTTATGCATCTTGGAAAGAAGTGTGCAAGTTCTTTGATCACAGCATCTTCTGTGGTGCAGGGCAGCAATGTATGCAAGTGCATGTGCACAGGCTGTCTACAGATACAGAAAAAGCACGTAGGAGGACCGTGCGCACGTGTCAAAGTATGCATAGATACACCTATGCATATACACATGGAAGTGGCTGAGTGCCTGTAGACAGCACGTGAAGTTGTTCAAACAGATGACATGCATGTTTTCATTCACACCCAGAATTGAGTGCTGATGAAAATACGTATATACGTGTGTTTCATATGATGTATGAAAACACACATATATGCACACCCTTCCCTACATACACAGACTTGGTTTATTGCAACCTATTTGCATGAGTGATATACAAAGGCAAGTGGGCTTATGTTTCCATATTTGTTCATCTTTGTGAACGCACATGTGGGAAGAAATATGTGTGCCTGCACTGTATATACATAATGTATCCATACCCATACATAAGCACATTTATAGATCCATGCTTTTAAAACCATACTTGTGTTCATGTACACTGACACAAAGGTGTATGTGCCTAAGAAATGGTACTGTCAGGAAGATTGCCAAATACATTGTCTTTTGAATTCTTCAGATTCTAAGAACCATTTGTGCCCACCAAAACTGTCACCTAGCTTTCTCTAACAGGGCCAAGAGCCTTATTCTTCATCTCCGCAATTTGTGAGGCCTTTATCTTAAGCAGGAGATGAATCACTCCATCTGCGACAGACAAATGGAGACAGCAAACTGCCTGCTGCCGCTCTGCCATGTCACAAGGATGCCCTTCCTCACTGTTTTCATACAGGAAGTCTGTCATCAGCCATGTCCATGTAAAAGCTGTTTCCACACACATCAACGTGGCATGCTCCCTTCCTACATTTGCTAATAAGAAGCCTGGCCTGAAATACCAGATTCTTAGATTCTTCCCCATCCCTATATAAGCCAAGCGTGAGGAACTCCTTGTGCCCAGAGGTGCAAACTACATCCTTCCTCGGGGGCAGAAAATTCATCCACACAGTTACACCCAACTTCATAGGTGAACAATGTTCCTTTTTAAAAGCATAGGAACAATGGGACTGAAATGTTACATGGTGTGGACCTCCAACGCCTTCCACAGCTCACAAAATCAAATCTGCGCTGAAACACTGCACAGAATCTGGAAGCAATGCCTGAGCAAACTCCATCCTCCCACGGGGAAATGGGATAGGCATGCACCTGCAACAACCCCAAAGGCTTGCAATTAAAAAGCAAGTAAAAAACAAACAAAAACCCCCAACAACTTAGGTCTCAACCGGTTCTCCAAGAGTCTATTACAGAAATGAGGGTTTTTTGTCTCCACCAAACCTGCCAAGAAAGGACAACTACACCTACTTGGCCTAAAACATAGGACTCAGTTACTCCCAGAATTGGACCCAATGTGCCAGGAAAGTTTGCCTGAAAAAACAGAAAAAATTCAATGGGAAATGACAGGGGGGTAGAAATGAACAAGGGGAAAACATTCAACACATTCTCTGGAGGGAAAGCATGGCAGAAGAAACACAGAAACTTTCCTGAGTGCCTAGGAAGCACTGGTGCGAGCTGGACTCACTGCAGCAGAGATTACTGCTTGGTTCAAAACTAGGAGCATTGAAGTTAAGGCCTGGGGAGGGGGAACTGCTTCTTTCTGTGAGTTAGGCCATCAACTTTTAGAAAATATTCTTCTTTAATGATCCCTGGAAACCAGTTAGTGACTAAAGTTTACCTTAATTACTCAGCAGTGGCAATTTTTCAGGTATATCTACCCTGCGTATTTGAAGGTTAGGCACTATTCTGTGCAGTTTCCTGATGTTCCTCCTGGGAGGTGCTGTGGAATGTGCATTTTGGCTAGTGCTGGGCAAGGCCTCCATGACGCACATGCATCTCTTGAGCTCGTGTGCTGCACTCACACACATTCCTTCTGTATTCAATCGTAATGTATTAATACTCTCAGGATTGGTGTCCTTTCCAGATGCATCCCAGACACAAGCATTCCCAAGTCTGGCTTGCTGATCCAAGGCATATAACCTGGACAGAGCAGGGTTCCTGAAGTACTGAGCTTAGAGAGTCGTCTTTTACCTACAAGTAAGTATGACGATACCGCCAGAACACTTTCTGAACCTACACATACCCCTATACCAATTTTGCAAAAGGCAGGCCACCTACATGACTGCACCCTACGCATTTATCAGGAACTGGCTCACACTTGGAACTCAAAGACTGCTGAGGTCTAATAAGTTGCAAAAAGAAATTAGTGAACTGCTGTTTAAGAAAGAATGCATTCAGCACTGTACAAAGTGGGCATATTTTAAAAAGAAAGTTCCTTTAAAAAAAAAAAACCTCTAATTCTATGAAATTATTTCCTATGCATATCTCTTTACTTCATATGTAGGAATGCCTGTGACAATTGCAAGTTTTATGACCACTCTCCTGAGTGACCATGGTACAAGTATTCACATGACCAACCAAAAATTTTTTCTACTTGTCTCATTTACAAACCATTTTGCTAGCCAGAAATCAGAGAAACTATACAAAGCAGATAACAAATAGTACAGTAATTGCACTGTATTAGAAGAGAACTGTTCATTAACTTCAAAGGCTAAATATAACAGCCAGATTTATAGCCTGATAACCCTGCAAGGTAAAGGCATTATAACTGCAAAACCAGACATTAGTAAAGGTCAGTTTGCTCAAGACCACTCACAAAGTAAAGAGTAAAATTTACCAATGTTTTTCCTGATTAAGAAACTGCCAAAATATAAATCTCCTGTTCTGTCTCATTTGACCTTAAAGGTCTTACCTATTGCTAAAAAGATACCAAGTTTAGCTCCTCAAATTGTCCTCCCATGCTTGCTTTCCAGAACACTCACCTCCTAGTCCGGTTCTGAGTGGCTTGCTGCTGCTGTTGCACTTGCTGCTGCACTTGCTGTTGCTGGACCTGCTGTGGTGCAGTGCGTTTTCTTGTTGTTTCCATCACGGTCTGGGGCATCCCAGGTCGCACTGAGGGGCTGCCAACGTATGGGGGGCCTGGGGGACCCATGGGAGCCCCCTGATGGGGCATTCGAGCTCCTGATGGCATCCCAGGTCGCTAGAGAAGCAAAACAGAAAGAAGAGCCGGTTTGGTCCCTGCTTCTTCAGCTGCAAAGACATGTGTGCATAATCAGACACTAGCTCCCGCAAGTTCCCCATTTTGACCATCCTGAGAAGCACCAAGCAACCACACAGAGCACTAGAGCTCTGGACTGGTATTTCCTGCACATCATCAAGAGGAATTCAGTGATGAAGTAGACAGGAAACAAGGATGAGAAATACTAGGCTTGGGAAACCACTCAGTGGACACTAACATATCCAGACCAGCTTGCAGCGGAAAGCTCTATGTTCAGACCGAAGAAAAAGCTCCATGGCAGCTACACGCAGTCCAAATTGGTGCAGTTCACATGCTAATCAAAGCTACAAGCAGGCTTACATCTACAGTGCTTCCGATTTTGCACTGACTAGCAGGCTGCTTTGATCAGGAGGGAGACTGTAACAAGCAAAGGTGAACCATGAAAACACTATGATAAAACATTTCCCACTAAGAGCCCTCTCCTTCACCTACATCAGGGAGCAGTGCAAGTTCATAAAGCAACAAGAATCCTTTAAGAGAAGGTCATGGCTCTGATCAAGCCTCTAAAATAAAAAACAAAAGGAATGTTGTAGTTTGCCAGCAGCCCCTGTAGGCATTCTGAAGTCCTGACATTTATGTCAACTTCAGTGTGCTCTGGAGAGACACTTTGGGTCAAATCACAAGCTTAATGCTGCGCAAGACACACAGTGAACTCAATTCTAAATCTAGAAGTTTATAGTCGTCAAGGAAAAACACCAGTAAAATAATTACCACCTGCAGAATGCAATTTAGAACTGAGAGCTTAGTTCCACTCTAAGAATTATCAAAATGTTGATTATATGTCTACATATATGTGAGAATACAGACAAATACACACACCCTATAGGCATTTGAACCGGTATGTGAATCAGAGTAATCATACACAAAAGCCTTCTGAACGCCGAGTCTCTCTACAAAGTCTTTTAAGGAAACAAAGAGGCAATGGCATCCATTAAGGATAAAGAATTGGTTAAAGGATAGAAATGAGGTAAAAGCAATTGGTTCTGAAAATAAAAGGCAGGCACATGCAGAGTTTTGCTGGGACTCGCGCTTTTCAGCATATTCATAAGCAACCTGAAGAAAAAAAAAGGAAAAAAAAGCAAGAGAAAAAGCAAGGAAGTGAACAAGTTTGTTGGTAATGCTGAAGTCTTCAAGCTGGCAAGGACGAAGGCCAGCTTCAAAGAACTGCAGAAGGACTTTATGAGACAGACTGAACACTTCAAAGAAAGATGGAAATGGATTCCAATGCACATTGAAGTGAATTACATGGGAAAACACAATCCACTCATCACATACGAAACAAGGGGCTCTGAGCTGACTGTTGCCCAGCAGAAGCAAGACCTTGGAGCTTAAACAAGACACTTCCAGAGGAAAAAAACCAAACCAAAACAGTTCACTGCTTACTAGAGGTCAAAAAAAAGACATTAAACAAAAGAAATGAGAAGGAAGGGAACAGAGAACATCACTGCGCCTCTGTCCGTGGCTTGCCCACACGTTGAACGCCGTGTGCAGTTCTGATTCCTGCAGTCCAGTAATGGTAGAGTAGAGCTGAAAAAAGTACAAAGAATTGCATGGAAATTATTAAGCTATGGCACTGCATCCACGTAAGTAAAAGTAAATATACTATGATTTTCCATCCAGAAAGAGGTGATCCAAGGTAATCGAGGGGGCATTTACCAGAGCTCTGCAAAATCATGAGTGGCCTGGAGAGGGCAGTTAGGGATTGACTGTTCACTGCCCCTTCCAGAATAATAAACTTTGTCCACCAGAGGAGGCTAGGAGGAGTCAGGCTCACAGACAACCAAAAGGGGGTAGCTTGCCACACAGGGGGTAGTCAGCTTGTGGAACCCCTTTCCAAAGGGATGCTAACGGCATAGAAAACATATTTGGCTCAGAAACTTCTCTGAGTTATCAACAGTTAAAGACTGAGAAAGTATTTGGGAGAAGTACGCTAGTGGTCTCCAAAGTGAGGTGTGTGCACCAGAGGCTATGCAAGACAGTCCATTGGGGGTGGGAAGACAATATTTTTTGTACCATTAATAAATAAAATAAAAACTTTTTTTAAAGTTTATTTCCTCTTTATATCATCGTTTTATAATTTCTAAATATATTATAATGTATATTATAATAATACATAATTCTAAATATAATTTGGATCTGCATCTCCAAATTAACCACCCAAATCCACTGTAGTCCCCAAAGCCCCAGCTCGACGCCATCCCTGATCATCACAAGGCTTGGATATTCCCTGCACTTGTATGCATGAAGGAAACTGGAGAAAGAGAGAAGAGGAATGAATGATCTGCAAAGAACCAATGGCTACCATTGCTACAGGCAGAGGATGGCCGAGGTAGGAGACAGGCCAGCAGAGGAAGCCAAGCAGGTGAATTCAGCA